TATACAAGTAGGAATGAACCTAACTTTAAATAAGTTATTTTACAAATAAAATATAGAGGTAGTATGACAATAAAGACTATTATAGGTAACAAATAAGATATATATATATATATATATATATATATATATATAGAAACACTTCATCAATAAGACCGTGCCTTCTAATATGTGGTTGTTTAGAATTTCATTCGGTTTAAGTTATCTTAAAATTGGATGTTTTTCTTAAAGAAACGTGTATGTAACAGAAATCATGCACAAATATGTTAAAAAAGCATTATTTTCTGTATGTGAAAACTAATTTCAAATTTTAGCCACAGTACAAAAAATGTCTTAAACAGAATAAGAATTTTGGAAAAAGAAATGCTAAAGATGTTTTTAATCTTTTTTCAGAGCATAAACATTTGTCTTTGTTTTTGGTGTACAAAAATAGCTGTGTTCTATATACTTTGATATTTACATCTGCCTATTACATGTACAGTGTTAAGGTGAATCTTATATACTTTTGATGCTTGCTGTGTTAATTAATTGGCAGTTGTCAGCTATGTCAACAACTGGAGGCCAGTACAAGAAGAAATGGATAGTTCAGGTGTATCCAAAGAAGCAAGATACTCTTTAAAGCTATTGATTCTATCAATGGGTGGTGTAGTATGTAAGTAGATACTATAATTGTGGATTCTGTGTACTTCTTACAAACACACACACACACATCAATCTTTTTAATTTTTTATATGTTCATCCACATTTCCTGTTAAAATTAAATCTTGGATAATATTAATATTTGAATTCTGAGTTATGTTTTGATGCTAAGTTTATTGACATACATTGAAAATAAATTGGTTTAATTAAATTTGAAATATAACTAAAAAAGGACATGACATGAGCACTTAGACAAACCTGAATGCATAGGGTAAACCAGTGAATTATGGAGCCAAAGAATAAAAACTTGTGTCTTATTGTAAGTCATAGAATTTCTATTTTATAAAATTGAAAAAAAATCCAGAGTACTTTTGGAACAGTTTAGCAAGTTTACATATACTTTATTAAAACTGTTAATTAGTGTACTGTCTTTAACTTTATGGTTGTTAAAGATACATTATTTTTTTGTGCTACGTATTTATGACTGTATGTTCCCATTAGCCATTCACCACTAGTGAATCAAATGTACAAACAAATAGCAATGATATAGCTACTATTGTGAAGATCACAATGGTAAAAGTATCCACATAATGCCAAAACTTCAGAGCAGTTAAACTTAAAAGTACATTGATTAAACCATAACAGTTTTAAGCAATAAATCTAAACATTTTGTCATTCAAAGTTCTATCAATTTTATTATTGTCAATGTTGTTATATTTCCTCAAGCTTGGAACGTATTTTTTACAACAATGAACAATTCATGCATATCTTGTGCATTATGCTTGCTTAAAAAATGTAATCTTTCGATTAAACTTTAATTTAATTTCGATTTTTGCCTACAAGTTAAAAATAATGCAATCCTTTCTGATAGATGTGTTATAAAATACATTTAAAACTAAGTGATCATTCTGGGCAGTATGTAAATTAGAATTGAAAATGACAGTATTTGTTCTAAATAACTTTGAATAATTGGATACTACTGAAGTTTAATTTTGTTTAGAATGTGGTGTGTGCTTAAACTTGGCTTGGAGTTACAGTTGCAACTTAAGTTGGAGTTACAGTGGTACATAGAACATTGTTCACATTGTTAAGGTAGACAAAGCAATTTTATGTACACTCAGATACATTATTATTCAACTATCTAATATTCAAGACAATGTAATACAAAATTAAACTTCACTAAAACTTCCTAAAAAACAGTTATATGGAGAAAATTTGTAAAAATGCCATTTGCAGACTTGAAATGATTGCATGTGTTGCGTGCTGCGAGATATAACTTCTTTAAGTTTCTTTTTGATAATTCTGTGGATGCGAGTGTTATATTTCGGTTGGGCTGGTTTATTGGTTAGGTTATCTTTCTGGACTTCTCTTTAGTCTTCTCTCACCCAGTTTTTGTTATAGCAGTTGCAATAAAAATATTATTGGGTATACTTTTATCACATTTATACCTTATCTTAGGTTAGTTGTTATGTGATACATTAATCTGTTAGGTATACCAAGCTGTTTCTATTCCCAGGGCCTTTATGGGTGCACTTTGATAAGGAGTTTCACATAGAACCCAAATGTGTTTTATCAAACTTGAAATATTTTCTCTGGTTACTGAAATTCAGAATTCATGGTCATGAAAAGATTAAGCAAAAATAATACACATTCTAAATTTTGGTTTGCATTCTGAACACGTAAGGATCCTTTCTCATCTTTGGGGGTTTGTGGATTTATCATTCCACTTACCCTTGACAAAGAGAAAGAAAATTAACTGATTCATTCCAAGCCACAGCAGAAACCAGTTCTTTCTTGTGGATGAAGATGTTTCTACAAGAATAAAGTTTATGTTTAATACTACTGTGTCATTTTCTTTATACGTATGAATTTTGGTGATTGGGACACTTGTTTGTTTTTTTTTCGTTTTTTTCTACTCTTGGAGGTAAAAAAAAGTTTAAGAAAACAAACAATTTTTATCCAAATAAATATATATTTGTCTTACTATATGAAGCAGCATCAAGATTTAGTTTTAATAATTATAGGGTTGTTAAGTGTGACACTGCAGTTACATGATTATTTAAACATACGGAATATGCCATTATGCAGAAACGTCACAGTGTTGTCCCTCAGAGTTAGAATAATTGTTGGATTCATTAATTGATTACATAATACCAATTGATTATCACATGAGATTTGAATAGTTGTAATAATAAAAAATAGAAAAAATTGCTGACACAATTAGATTAAGCTGAACAAATCTCAATAAGTTGAAAAAAATCAGTGGCAATATTTCAATTACTTAGCTGGATTAATCAGAAACATTGATTTTGATTACTTAATTATTTTTATAAAATTAATTGATGTAATTGGTACTTGTAGGTAATTGATTGATTGAGTTAATTGCCCAGCTCTACTGAAGTCAGTCCCAAGTTTCCAGTTGATGATAGAGAGGCAGTGATGGTTAAAAGCTATTAGGTAAGATGTCTGTAGTAGTTAACCAACTGAAAGCATTTTCATAACTGACTTGTCATGATAAATGCAAACTTTTATTAAAGACAGAAACAAGAAAGGTTAAAATATATGCATACATAGTGTAATGATGTTAATTACATTATGATTACTTTCCAATTTTTTTGTACAATATTTTGACAGGTGAACAGTATTTAAGTATGGATTCACAGCAATGCACTATTTTATGAACACTGATATATACACACACACACACACACACACACACACACACACACACACAAGAAAATTCCATAGCCTTTATTTTTTCTTCATCATTTTAGATTTTTGATAACTTCACATTATTCTGGCATGGATATAAAAATTGAAGTTTTAGGTTTAGTGGCACCTGAACGTACAACCAGCGAGTTATTGGACCCTACTATTCTCATTCACTTTGTTTATATTAACTGTTTCAGTATTATGTCCTTTCTGTTGCTTTAGCTGGGCATACAAACAGAAAAGGAACTCATTACATTATGTACATTAGATATTTACTTGTATAATGGAGGCTGTAAACAATGATCATCCCTCTTGAGGTTGTCATATCAGAGGGCCTGGCATGGCCAGGTGATTATGGCACTCGACTCACAATCTGTTGGTTGTGGGTTCAAATCCCCCTCCCACCAAATATGCTAGCCCTTTCAGCCGTGGGGGCATTATAATGTGACGTTCATTCGTTGGTACAAGAATTGGCAGTGGGTGGTGATGACTAGCTTTCTTCCCTCTAGTCTTTCACTGCTAAATTAGAGACGGATAGCACAGATAGCCCTCATGTAGCTTTGCGCGAAATTAAGAAACAAACGTATCAGGAACCTACTGTTTGAAAAAATTTGATACATAGGCCTATCATTTGTATCTTTCTGCTATTACATGAACTTTCTAGTTCATTGCCAGTAGGGCAGAGATTGAGTGCCTTCTTGAGAAGTTCAGGACAATCATTGAAGTTGTGATACACCATATCAGCATTGGCCTCATGCTTAGACAAAGAAGCAGGTGATTAAAAAGTAATTGCTCTGCCTATCGAGTAATGGATTAGTATAAGACTAAACCAAAGAGATTAATTTGTTATAATAATAATTTTGTTTTACTGTGCATGAATTTGCTACATGTAATGTTGATAGATTTAAAATGAAATTTGATTAACTAGCTAAACTGTTCCTTCCTTCTTTATTTAAAATTAAAAATGCTTTGTAAGCCAGAATGCAATTGGTGCATTTAATTCTGTGTTAGGCTTACAGGTAACAAGTATAGTTGATTGAGCAATTAAAATTTAAGGTACAGACTCTTTTTAGTACCATTGATATTAAATTTTTCAAATTCATCAGAGAATTTGAACAGTCAGGTTGGACACAAACGTGGAGAAATATGCTTGAAAAAAAAAGGTTAAAAAAGCCAAATAATTTTAAAACTTTTATACGCAAACCTAAAAAAAGATAATGTGGGTCCCACCATTATATCCTTCAGAACTTCACGTACATGCAAACCATTGTGCTTAACTACGCTGTTATTAGTATATTTTAACATGAATCTTAATCAATCATACTGTATTTTTTGTGGTGATAATTATCTATTTATTGTTTCACAACAGATCAAATCTTTTGTAAATAAAAATGCAAAATTTTATTATCTGTAGCTAATTTGCAACATCATTGTTTGAAGATCATTTCTGTAGTAACATATTCTGAAGTTTTTGTTACTTATAATTAGAGCAAGTTAAAGTGATCTTAATTGAATAAAATTATGAGAAAAGTTGAAAAATCAGTGTGTGTGTGTGTGTTATATACACATGAACGTGGCAGGTCAGAAAATCTTAAATTTTCCCTGAAAAGTCAGTCAGGAAAGTCTCTGATATAATGTGGCTATCCTGACATTAGTATGATAGATAACAATTTCAACCTGCCAAATTTTATTAATCTAAGACAAAGATAAAACAGTCCATGCAATTACTTTCTTAAATCAATGAAGATTATACTGACAGTTTACTACAGATAACAGAACAGTGCAGAAAACCATGCTGAGTTATTTAAAAATGTTTTATATGATTTTTGGCCCAGATTACATGAAAGCATACCAATTATCTAATCAAAACAGTTCAACTCTAATGATGGTTTACTACGTTATACTATAAACTTACAAAAATTTAAAGTGATGTTTTAAGTGATCTGAATATATAACTTAGGTTACACTTTTGTTTTACAAAATTAGGTTCCTTATATAACTGAGGTATATAAACTTTAAAACAATTGTTTTATAATTCCCCAGTGACTGTGGTAAATCTGAAGGCTTTTAACCCTAAAAACAGGGTTTCCATAACTGCGGTGGGCACAGTACAGATAACCCATTGTGTAGCCATGTGCTTAACAGCAACCAAACAAACAAACTATTTATAGAGATAGTCATTTCTCTCATGGTACTTGGGTTGATTATTGAGTGAAAAGTCTTCTTGGCACTGATCTACTGCATAACAGGTAAATTGTAATTAAAATACATTTATTGAGTGAATTTTTAAAATGGGATGGTTTATTTTGCCATTTTTGTGAATTATCTGTATTTCTTCATTAGTTATCACATAGACTGAACATAATAGAAAAAGATCAGTGAATGTCCTATCAAATTATAACTAGTATTTGCTCAAATAAATGTTAATTTCATTCCATCTGCTTTTCTTTTTTGTTTCTTATTTAAAAGAATAAATAAAACAGTTTCAGTATGCATTAAAAATTTTCCTGTAACTTGGTTATCACTTGGGATAAATTTAAAGAACCTTTCTCATCTTTGGGGGTTTGTGTAACAAACTTTTCACTTATCCTTGACAAAGAGAAAGAAAATTAACTGAAACATTCCAAGCCACAGTCAAAAAGTTATTGCTGGTTGTGGGTGAAAATGTTTCCACACACACACCCAAAAAAAAAGATTCAAGGTAACAATTAAGCTATTATTGACAGATTTATTTCCATTTAACCATTTCACTTTGCAATTCATTTTCAGGCTGATTCCCAAAAAAAGTGTCAATTATCCACCAAAAAATAAAAGTATGAATTTGACCCTTTGTTTTACTTTTTCAGTATTGAAAGAAGCTATATTTTCTATATCTGACATTAATATTCTTTGAAAACTGTATTCATTAGTGAAAGATAATGATTTAAACCAAAAATTTAGAAGAAAAATGTTCCCCAGTAAATGTCATAAATATAGGCAAAACTATGTCAATAATAGGCCAAAATCATTACAAAATATAAAACAAATTATTTAGATAACAATATCCAAGATATAAAGAAGCTGTCTATATATATTCCTGCAAAGTTGGCAATTTTGTAACGAGGCACAAAAACATCCGCGTTTCATGGTGTAGAACACAGATGGCAACATGCATGCAGGTTTGGCAATTGTTTCAAGTACAGGGGGATATTCCCATGTGTTGCAGTAGAGAGAAATATTTTTTTGATAGCTATGGATGGGAGAAATCCAAATTTTGCAGTCATTGGGTGTAAATGTTTATTTGGAAATATCCAAACTACGCAACAAAAGGGTTAAAAAATAAAATAAACTAAGTCTCAATTTACTTTTGATGATCTAAACATTATTTTTATAAATAAAGATAACAGTGGCATAGGGATAAACTGTTTGAAATTAAAATTTAAAGTTTCACTTGTAGAAGTTTTAAATGTGATAAGCCTAAGTGCCCAGTTAAACATGATTGAATTTTGAGTAGTGGTGTTTCTTTATTTCGAATTATAAGAAGCACATTATGTAAAAGAATTATTTTTGACTATGTAGTTACAAATGATTTATTTGATACAAAAATGTTTGTTTTTCTCTATTTTCTTATCTTTAGTGCATTAAATTATTTTTCTTGTCACTATCGGGCCCAGCATGTCCAGATGGTTAGGGCGCTCGACTTGTAATATGGGAGTCACAAGTTCGAATCTTTTGTTTAGACTGTAATGCAAGGAAAAAAAAGTAATATTATCCTATAATAACAATAATTTACATTATTTTATACTTTTAAATGAGTGACAATTTAACCTACTCATAATTCAGTTAATAATATAAATTTGATCTACTCGAATAATTCAGTTAATATAAGTTTAATCTACTCGTATAATTCAGTTAATATAAGTTTAATCTACTCGTATAATTCAGTTAATATAAGTTTAATCTACTCGTATAATTCAGTTAATATAAGTTTAATCTACTCGTATAATTCAGTTAATATAAATTTAATCTACTCGTATAATTCAGTTAATATAAATTTAATCTACTCGTATAATTCAGTTAATATAAGTTTAATCTACTCGTATAATTCAGTTAATATAAGTTTAATCTACTCGTATAATTCAGTTAATATAAGTTTAATCTACTCGTATAATTCAGTTAATATAAGTTTAATCTACTCGTATAATTCAGTTAATATAAGTTTAATCTACTCGTATAATTCAGTTAATATAAGTTTGATCTACTCGTATAATTCAGTTAATATAAATTTAATCTACTCATATAATTCAGTTAATAATATAAATTTAATCTACTCATATAATTCAGTTAATAATATAAATTTGATCTACTCATATAATTCAGTTAATATAAATTTAATCTACTCGTATAATTCAGTTAATAACATATATTTAACCTACTCGTATAATTCAGTTAATAATATAAAAGAAAAGCATCTTTAGATTAATGTTGTTTATGTGAATTACAAAATTAAAAAACTTGTGATAATGAGATTTTTTTCTGAAATACAAGAAAAATTTGCTGAACTGACCCAGATTACAATATGGGTAGAAGTTCGTTTAGATGTTAGAATAGAAGACTGCAAAAAAAAAGATATTTGAATAAGCATTAGATGTAAATTATAATTAATACTTTCTCAATTGTGGATGCTTTCCTTGGACAAGTAAAAAGACATTAACTCTAGAACACCAGCATGGGGTTACTATGACCCCCATACTACCTGGTGTTAATGATTGAAAATTTAATGCTGGCATTCTAGGGTTAAGGACATAGATGATTACTAGCAGCTTACTTCAAAACTCTACAAGACTTTCTTGTTAATAATCTGAAACCTATATGATCTTGGCTTTATAATCTTTAGAATTAACTGGGATACTGTTTCGACATATATAACTTTGGAAAGCTGGAATTGGTTTAACTTCTTTAGAATTAGTTTTAAGAGATTTTTCTAAATCTAGGTGGTTTTCGAAAGTTGATTTCTTGTCTTTGGAATCAAGTTAGGAGACTGTTTAATAAGCCTTATAAGTTATTGCTGGAGAAAAATCTTGTTTTTTTTTTTACATGGATGTTTTGTGTTATCTTGATAGGCTTACTATAACCATACACTTACTGTTGCACTTCTGTATTAAATATGTTCATTTACAGTTGCATCATGACGTCTGATGTCAAAAGAAAAAGTGGATTGTGGAAGACTGCCAGTACAGGTTACTAACAATAAAAGTATTCAATACTCTGAACAATTATTTCTGATGTTTTGAATTACTCCATGTAGGTTCACCTCTAGTACTGTATTAGATACTAACTGGAAACTTTTTTTTTTATAATCATATGCACAATCAACAGTTATGTGTTGCTTATACAGATTTATTGTTATGACAAGAACTGTTCAATTATTTTTATAAACCTCAATAAAGTGTTGTTTGAAATTGTTTTATGCAGATTTGTTTTCATTCCCAAACCTCCAGTAACAAGCATGGGTTTTAACAATTTAGTGTTACAAGAAATGGAGGGTAGATTTTTCACACTTTTTGTAAAAGCTATACCTGTGTATTCTGGACAGTATATTGTAAAAATCAGATAATTCTGTGTAAGTGTGAAAACAGGATTATGTAAATAAAGGACAAGTGTTTTCTGTAATTTATACATTGTCATTAAATTTATTAGCTTCATAACAATTTTCACATTTTTTTATCCCTTGTAGCTAATATATTTAAAACTTGTATAGATATTGTAATGAAAATGTGTAACAAAAACCCATTTCTTTATGACACTAAAGATTACTATTTTTTAACCCATTTGAATTTGATAGTGAAGATAAGTTTTTAAGCAGGATTTTCATCACCATGAAACTTATTGGGTTTATTTTTTGTAAACTCCCATTATCAAATATACACATTTCTAATATTTAGCAGATCAAAAACAAGACATTTATGTCCCCCTATCTATAGTATACTTCACTGAATTTCAGAAAACAAACGTTCCCTCACTACCATAATTACTACGGCATTAAACACCATCTGGGAGTTTAATGCTGGGGCTTGAGACAAACTACTAGTACTTGTAGACTCGATTTAAGATTGCCCTGTTTGCTTTGATGACTACACTAAATCAAAACTGGTATGTGATGCTCCTTTTCAGTTGGCTGATTAATAACTAGCCATCCAATTGTGAAACATCTTTGGAAGCCAAACACTTCAGAAATGCACAAACTCCTTAAAAGTGCAATGGCCAATGATTGAAGATTATGAACATAAAGATAGGCTTGAAATCTCTCACCATTTACCTTAATAGTGTGCAATTTCCACCCATTTGTTTAGAATTACACGGAGCAGGCATTTTAATTTTATCAGACATTTTTATTGACATTTAAATGGAACATAAATTGGACAGACAGACATTATCATAAATTGTTTTCAGTACTTAAGGACTTTTTGTTACATACGAAAGCATATTACAAATGTATTGAATGCCACAGGTTCTGAAATTATTTTAAGTTTCATAAGTTATCATTTTCCATTGATCCAAAGGATCTGTTTGTATATTACAATACAGACCTTATAGATCTCATAAAGTATTTCATTCACTTTAAGCATATACTGTTAAGTAAAAAAAAACTTACTATTAAAAATCTTATTAAATATTTACCAGTTTTGTAAGTGATTGGTCAGTAAGTTGTTTTAGTGGAAACTGATGTTTACAAGTGTTGCCTCAATATTTCATGAAATGAGTAGATTGTATGTTAAGTGATCTGTAATTTTGATAAATGGAACATTCATTAGCAAAATATAAATATTTAGTGTCCTTAAATGGCCCATAGTATACCAGAGAACACAGACCTCCTGACCTTTACGTGCTGGAGGAACCTGAGACCAGTTAAGTTTTAATTATTATTTTCATCCCTGCATTTTTCATTTCCTTACCACTTTGTGGATGCCAAGATTTGTGTATCGTTTCATCGACCTAGCACCATTATTTAGAAGAAAAAAAAGAGAAATTACTTTTCCCCTGATGGTAAATTGGATATATTGGGATTATGTGTGTGTGTGCATATATATATATATGCTTGACAAGAGATTCTCATTGGATGTTGCATGCAAATCATTTCTTATTATTAGCAGTTTGAACTGATCTCCACAAAGGCTGGTAAGTTTAGTGAATCTTGTCATCTAAGGTTCAGTTAGAATACCAGAAACTAAGGGATGAAATGGATCCATTACTTCAAAAATGCAGGCTTGACCTTCATTCAGTTGATGTTCATGGTGCTATATTCTGACATTGCACTTGTCATGTGCATAAGACATCAATTTTTATTATGTATATATAAAAATTGTGTACTGCAGTTGGATAAAAAATTTGTTTTCAAAAATAAACTCAAGAGCATGAGATGCATTGAGGTTTTGAATTGTGTGCGCAGATATAAAACTTTATTTAGTTGTAGTAGAGAACTTAAAGAACTTGAAACCTTGTCATTAACTACCTCTGTGTCAGGCTTTTCTTGGAAATAAGCTCAAAAAAGTTAGGTTTTGTTATTTTACTTTTTTACAGCTTATTGTAATACATAATGACTTGAAAATAGATTTGGGCATATAATTAAAAAATATATTGAGAAATGGTTTGTTCAAATTAACTTTGGCAAGTAATTCTTCAAACATGAAGGGTGTTCGAGTTATTTTGGGCAAATCATGGAAGGGGTTAAAGAATCTTCAATCATAATAACTTGAAGTTAAAATCAACTGTGTTGTTCCAAATGTCATACATTTCTAAATTATAACAGGAGTGATTTGAAATAAAACTGTTGTAAAACACAAGTTTTTTTTGACATGTTAAAGAAAAAATACATAATTAAAGTTAATTTGGTGGTTTTGGATGTAATGTGCCAATATTTAGTACATGTAAATGTATGTCTTGTATGATTTATGTAGATGATTACTTTGAATTGGTTGGCCAAAGCTGATAAAACTTAAAATGCACAGAACAAAAAGAGCCACGAAAGAAATCATTTTCCAATTTTTATTTTATTTTTTTAACAACCACATTGCAAGAACTTTTATATTTTTGTCATGTTTGTTTATCTTAAGACAATTTTTTTACACTTGTGAACTACTACGCAACATTAATGAAATACCTAAATCCACACTTAAAATAATCTATATTTAGATGTAATTAGGTTGAATTAACTGACCTGAGATATCTGTTGAATTGTGAAATGACAGCAATTATGGCTTATTTGTGAAATTTATTTTTGTGGACATTTTGTGAAATTTAGTCCAGTTTATGTGACACAAACCAATAATGTGTTATCAGTATTTTTTATACTCTTTTTTCAAATTGATAAAGTATGCATTAGAGATATGGTAAAAAAATATTAAATATCGAAACAACAGAAAGACATATTGAAAGCCTGTACTAATTTGTTCACCATTTTCTATAGTTACTTCTAGTCTTTTAAACCTACTATCTCAAACTTACTCTATCATTTTACAGGATAAATCAACTTTAACTTTATATTACTCACTTTTAATAAATTCTTACTTTCATTGTTTTATATATATA